TGGGGCTGGGGATTTAGCTCAGCGGCAAAGCGCCTGCCTGGCAAGCGCAAGGTCGTGAGTTCGGTTCCCGGTACCGGAGAAAAACCAAAAAAAAAAAATTCACCCAGTTCTGGTTTGGGGATATAGTTCAGTGGTGCAGTGCCTGCCTGGTAAGCACAAGGTCCTGAGTTTGATTCCCAGTACCAAAAAAAAAAAAAAAAAAAACCTCACCCAGTTCTTATATCCACAGCATTTTCTCTGAATAATAAAATTTTCCCTTTATTTTTTCAAGTGAAGGATTCTCTGTGGTCTTAGACTTCACAAGTAATTTTAAGATAATGAGACAAATCTGCATGCATATTTTTAAATCAGATATTTCTGGCTTGCTAATTAATACTTAAATTCTTGTTTTTAGCTAAATTGGAATTAAGAACTCACAAAATCTTGGCAGATCCACAGAACAGAAGACATCACCACCTTCAATTACTTGCCTGTTGCAGAGCTTTTTGGGAAGATTGACATCAAGTATGTGAGACAAAATGATGACCAGCTGAGTGGCGTAGCACAGCGCAGCGCTGATGGTATAGGCAGGGTTATTATGCTCCATGTCTGAAGGGTAAGAACAACAGTCACACAGCACCTTTAACTTCAACAAAGTATTAATAAGCAAAGGTTTTATGATTTGTAACTTTACCATTATGTTAATGACGGTTAAGTTGCATTTCCCATTCCATGGCCAGATATAAACATCTACTGGTTTTGTTTTTGCTTTTGTTTCTGTTTGCTTGTTTGTTTTTTGCTGAGTGCAATGCAACATAATCAAATAAGCCTAAAACCCAGCTAGGCCGGAATGAAGGTGAAGTCTGAATCACTTAGACCTGGTAATGCAGTATCAGAATAATTAAGGACAACTTAAATATCACCTCCCCAGTCCTCTCCAAACTAGCTACCAGAAAAGACATCCCTTCCTTTGCACTCTGCCCTGCCCTGGGACACTGCTGGCTCCCACAGCACCTGCTGTACTCTCTGGCCTCTGACTATGTAATCGTTTACTCTCCTTTGAAGGGCAAAGGGCAAATCCATCTTGGTCACCTTATATCACCAGCACCAAGCACTGTGCACAACAAAACCTGTGCTCACTAAACATATGCTAAATGACTCAATGAGCAATCCTCCTCCATCTAAGAGAAACTACAGGAGTTTTAAAAGGTTTTTCTATTCGGCTATTTCAATTTCCAATTAGAACTGCTAAATACACATGGAACAAGTTACAAACTAAAAACGGAACTCCTAGGCTAACTGTGTATTATTAAATGAGCTCTTTTTATACAAAATGTAATACTGTTATGGATGATACATTGTGTCAACTTGGGGAGTCTAGAGGTTTGGCTAAGTGACTCAGCAGGAAGCCAGGGTGCTTACTTTGTATACATCCTGAGCCTATGGAAGAGGAGGGCATTAAGATTATGTGAGAGCTACACGCCCCTTAGGTGGGGGTAGACTGTTTACATTGTAAGGCAGGGAAAGAAGCTGCTTGTCTCCATTCCTCCCT